TTCGGCTCGCTGCATCGCAGCTTAAAACGCCAAGTACGTGGGGTTTCGTTTTGCTGCATCGACAATAACGATGTAGTAGCAAGGCCCCGCGATCTGGTGTGATGGTCGTGCTTGCTCATGTTCCTGCGAAAAGTGATGGGCGTTGAGAGATTTTGACCACAGTCCTCGATCAGCGTTATGACGAGCTGCTCCTGGCGACAGCTGATGATCTTGTCCACATGCCCTAATATTCACTTGGACCTTGTGATTCAGTCATGCAATTCTTTTGCAGCGCGATGTCTCGACGCACCACTAGCTTGATACCAGGAATTACTGTTGCCCTGCAGAAGTACCAGAGTGACAGCCCTGCATCTTGCGGCCACATTCATGGAATGTTGAGTAAATGTCAAGGAATATCCCTGCGTGTTTGAAATACTGAATGTCCTGGCCGTGACCTGGATCTAATCGTCGTGCTTTGCTTCCACCTCGACGAATTCGACATCCGCTGGTTTGTAAGACCCAAAACGACGGAGGGGAACGCCTTGGTTGAACATAAGGTCAATCTGCTCCAAGGACTTGCCCTTGCACTCGGGGACAAACAGCCACGTGAAGCATACAGACACGACTGCAACCGCGCCGAAGATGAATCCCAAGCGACTGCCGAGATTCGCAGGGTCAAAGAGGAGGTAAGGAATGGAGAAGTTGACGGCAAACCTGATGAGGACAGGTAGTGTTAGCACGGAACATCTTCGGCAGGTTATTACAGAACACAACTCACGCAGTGACAACGTTGACAATGGCAGCAGTGCGCTGGGATGCGTCCCGGAGATGGAGCGACGTCACTTCAGTCGTCACAACATATACTAGAGGTGCCCATCCCAGGCAAAAGCCACCGCCAAAGAGCGGCAGCATCGCGACTGTGGCCTTCTTGACAGCGACTGACGGATTGCTGATAGTACCTAAGCCACCCATGGTTATGATGGCAGCTGCCTGCCAGGCTGCGCCAGCCATGAGCAATGGCCTATCAAACAATTTACATGTTAGCACAGCGTTTGACCAAGCGGTCAGGGAGCCGGTCACAACTTACCGTCTGCCAACCCGGTCGTTGAGAAACAGTGAGACGCCACACATCAGCAGGTTGACTGATGCATTAATGATGGTCATGTTAAAAGGGTTGACGGTTCCAATGCTCCGCACAAAGATAGCGCCATAGGAGCCTGCAAACGCTTGGCCCGTTGCCTGCTGCAGGAAGTTAAGTGCCACAATAATAGCAGTCCGCTTCCTGTTGATACCCTGGAATATCTCAATGTATCGTCCCTGCTCTTTTTCCATTTGAAGGGCAAGTTGGAGGTCGGCGAATTCAGATTCGATCTCTTCAGGGCTCAAGGTTCCGGAGCGTAAACGAAGCAACGCACCGTGAGCCTTTCCGACTTCGCCTTTCGTCAACAGCCAACGAGGAGACTGAAATTAGGATGATAGGTGAGCAAAGTCCTGTACGTAAATGATTTTACGAAGAAGTAGACTGACCTCCGGAATTAACCACACGGTCGACATAACGATCATGGGGACTATAAAGAAGAAGCCTAAGGGGACTTTCCAGGCTGCATTTGTGGATAGAGTACTTGTCCCACGACAAATGCAATTCATGATAAGTCCTCCACACTACGGTAGGACAAGGTCAGCGGAGGTCCAAGATCAAAGTCTCGGAAATTGGCTGTTTACCATCATGCTGAACTGGTAGGAGCCTACCGCAAACCCCCGAATTGGTGTGGGTATGATCTCTGCCTGGTAGACAGGGATGACTGCTAGTTCCATTCCGATGTATATGTCTGAAGACAAGACTCGGGTTAAAATTACCACATAACTGGCAGGGCATCATCAAAGCGAGTTGAACATACAATTTAGGACCCGAGCGGCCATGATTTGCTCTCTGGTAGTTGATGTCACTGCTATTACGGCGCAGACGACAGCATGACCACTCATGGAGAACATGCACCATCGTCGACCCCAGCGTTCACTGATTAGACTACCAAGCACCACGCCTAGGTTGCCGTCAGCAATCATGTTCACGAGTCCAAAAAGCCAGAACGGACCAAATGCGAAACCAATGTAATTCAAGCTGTTGAACATTGAAAGCCATGCGGTTGGTAGTTCATATTTGCCGGTTCTCGTATCAAAAGAACCAAAATGACGAATGAACGGTTCCATCGCCTGAGTTGTTGTGTAACCATTGTTGTCGAAGCCATAATTCAGTGTCGAAATGGCAATGACTAGAGATGAGAGGGCCAAAGTTTTGTTAAAATGCTTGACGATGTAGTGGTTGGAAAGCATAAACATGATGGAAGAAGGGTCAGATGGAATATCAGAGTCTCATCAATGCGAAATGCTGAGCTACGTGAACATAAGCACATTGAAGAAGGAGTGTCTAAAGAGCGGCTGCTCCTCCATTCACCTGTGACTTATATACGATACCCCCTCTTCTCCGCCTTAGGTCGGGAGCAGAAAGGACGTGGAGAACCTTGCAAATGAACTTGCCAAATAGGGGTGGCGTCAAGGGCGCCCCGGCTCGTGTAAAATCAATCCCCAGATTCCTCTTCCGGGGCGCAGAGTATCCTCCGCACTTGAACAGTCCTCGACTCCAGACAAGGGCACCGTCGGCCCAGTTCTCTGGATGGCGCCGCCTCGTTTAGAAGCGCAACGATAGACCTTCACCTGATGTTGACAAATTTACATCGATGCAGAGATTCATCATGATTGAGTGGACTGACAAGTATCCCGCGTGACCATTCGCCTCCGGCCCTCAGGGCAGTCGGGGCAGTCGGGGCAGTCGGGGCAGTCGGGGCAGTCGGGGCAGTCGGGGCCTAGCGAACTTCTTACTTCAGGTAAAGTCTGGCATTTGATTGCCGACTTGTAAAATTTCCATGCACTTTTTATATCGTAACGTGACCATATATGTCCATGATGAGATTAACACATTCCTGATAGCCTCCTCTAAGATCTATGGCCTTCACTGCTCTTATCTCACAGCCCGAATTTCCGCAGCAAGGCCCAAAGCTGGCATAGCTTCGTCGAACCCACTTGGCACTCTGCGCACTATCTGTACCCGCTTTTCTTAGCATCTTTCCGTTCTTCACGTACTCGAAACCTTCCAATCGCCATATACGACAACCCGCAGCATCCCAACAATGAACGGAAACCGGGGCGTAGTGGACTCCTTTCTGGAGGAGTTAACGCTCCCAGAGAAAATTGATCTTCTCGCCGGAAAAAATATGTGGGAGACAGCCAGCATTGATCGACTTGGTATTCCAAGCCTCAAGACTACCGATGGACCAGCTGGTGTGAGGGGCAAGATCTGGAGCGGCGGCTCACGTACGACATTCATCCCGTGTGGCGTCTCGCTTGCCGCAACTTTCAACCTATCCTTGATCGAAGAGGTGGGTGAGGTGCTGGGTAAGGAAACGCGACTTAAAAATTGCTCTATCCTCCTAGCACCTACCATGAACATCAACAGGTCGCCACTCGGCGGTCGAAATTTCGAAAGCTTCGGTGAAGACCCAATGCTCACAGGCCGAATGGCTTCTGCTATAATTTCCGGCATCCAGAGCCAGGGCGTTGGGGCTTGTATGAAACACTTCGTCGCCAACGACACCGAAACCAACCGGTACAATGTGGACGAAAAGATTGATGACCGAACCCTGCGCGAGGTGTACCTTAGACCCTTCAAGCTTGCTCTGGAAGCCCACCCGTGGACTGTCATGACGAGCTACCAGAAGATCTTGGGTGAGCATGTCGATGCAAGCTCTCGTCTAGTCAAGGACCTTCTTCGCGGCGAGTGGGGGTTCGACGGACTTGTAATGAGCGACTGGGGAGGACTCAACGACACCATCAAAAGCCTGGCTGCCACAACCGATTTGGAAATGCCCGGTCCTGCAGTCCGGAGAGGTAAAAAGCTCCTCGAGGCAGTGAAGAAAGGAGATGTTGATGAAGGAACTCAGATTGATCAGTCTGTACGTCGCGTATTGACTACTATCGAAAGGGCTGGCGTCCTCCCCTCTTCACCAACCTCATCTTCGAGAGTTGAAGTGAATGGACCGGAGGATTACGACTCTGTGGCCGGGGAGCACGAGGATGATTCAGACCCTTCGTTCAGAAGGATTGCTCGTCAAGCTGCTAGAGAGGGCCTCGTACTTCTCAAGAACAAGACCATTCTCCCGATAAAACCGAAGAACCTGAAACGGATCGCCATTCTGGGACCCCAAGCGAAAAAGCCAACAGCGGGGGGTACCGGGAGCGCTGCCGTCAACCCGTATTACGTATCTTCACCATATGAATCCCTGAGCGAAGCCCTACTGTCAGAGAATTCTAATATTCATATCCAATATGAGAAAGGCATTCGCACTTCCGATGTTCCTCCCCTGCTGGGAGACCGCCTCCAGAATGCTGCAGGCCAAGGGTTGCGAGCAGACTTCTACGCCGGGCATAACTTTAAAGGCAACATTATCGAAACGACTTACTGGAAAGACTCTATTGTCTATCTTATGAGCGATGGTGATGTGCCTGCAGAGTTGGCCGACAGAGACTACTGTTTCCGAGTTTCTGGCGCCCTGGTACCTGACGTATCTGGGATGCACACATTCAGCCTGGCCAACATCGGTCAGGCTAGACTCTACCTGGACGATGAGGTTGTCATTGACAATACTTCATGGATAGAGACTTCAGGGCTTTTCATGGGCTGCGCAAGCCGAGAAAAGACTGCTCAAGTGTCGCTGGAAAACGGTCGCGTCTACCGCTTGCGGGTTGACTATGTCGCTACGCCACCCCCGGTCGAGGCTTACGATAACACTCTTTTTCACAAGGTCTCAGGAGCCCGCATCGGTCTTTTGGCACCTGAAGACGAAGACGAAATGCTTTCAAGAGCTTGTGATGCAGCAGAGAAAGCTGATCTCTCTCTGGTCGTTGTCGGTCTAGATCCCGACGAAGAAAAGGAAGGTGGGGATCGTTCGTCTCTTGAGATGCCAGAGCGAGTCAACAAATTGATCAAGGCAGTTGCTTCGAGAGGCGAACACGTAGCGGTCATCGTACAATCGGCTTGTTCTGTAGGGATGCCTTGGGTCCACGAGGTGGATAGCATCGTACAAGCATGGTATCAGGGCCAGGAGAACGGTAATGCTCTTGCTGACGTTCTGCTCGGGAAGCACAACTTTTCGGGAAAGCTTCCTGTGACTTTTCCGGTACGTATTGAAGACCACGGGTCCTCTCCATATTTCCCTGGAGACGCCAAGAATAACCGTACCGAGTATGGTGAGGGGGTTCTTGTTGGATACCGTCATTTCGACAAGCACCAAATTACTCCCCTTTGGCCCTTTGGCTTTGGCATGTCCTACACGCAATTCCGCTTATTTGGAGCACGAGTTTCTGGATTTGTGTCAGCATCGCAGAACTCCGAGGCTACAGCTACGGTTAGCGTCCAAAACATTGGGCCCTGTGATGGCCAGGAAGTTGTCCAAGTATACGTGTCGCCATCTTCAGAAATCTCAGTCCGAGGTTTGCAGTCATACAACAAGGCCCTCGGCGGATTTAACAAGGTATCTGTCGCAGCAGGTCAAACTCGACAAGTCAACATCAAAATCTCAAGTGAGGTCTTTCAGTGGTTTGATGTTGGTGATGGCATGGAGGATATAAAGGAAGGATCCTGGAGGGTCGACCCTGGAACGTACCGCTGCTACATCGGCAATAGCTCCGCCGCCGACTTTGACGAGGTCGATATTGAAGTTCGAGAATGAGGATCAGCTTCCATTATGCCACAGTGCATCCCGTGAAGCACAAACGTGGAACAGATACACATACAAATATACATTTTCTTAAAATGGCTGCAAACATCATCCTGGCGTAGCGCCTAGGTAGCAAGAATATCAAGCGACAGCCTTCACCTCGAGGAAGTAGCAAGAACAGCCAAGCGTATGGAAACTGTCGTATCATTCACCGCAATGACTACGCGTCGTCCTGAACTATGGAGTGTTCAAATACATTCAAGGGGTACATTTCAGTGCCAGCGCCCAGCAGATATTCGGTCCCGGGCATCGACCACAAATTCTCGTCGTAATAGCCAGTGTCTGCGGCATCCCCAATCAAGGGAGTAGTTGAGTCCATGCGTGCGTACCGCGTATTAACATCTGTTATGGCGAAGTTGTTGGCATTCCAGGTACCATATGTTGCTACCGTCGGCACACGTTGCAGCATCCGTTGGGGACCATCTGCCCTATGGGCTTCTGTGCCCGTGTTGTGGGCATCTGACCGATTTCGCTTCTCTACTTCTGAGAGAAGGACAACGGTTTTTTGACGAGATTCCTTGTTGTTGTGGGCTCTATCGGGGTCTTCGCTTAAGAACTTGATACTCGCAAGCTCTTCGTCAATGCTGAAGGCGAAGCCATCACTGTCAAACAAATCTTTGAATCAGCAGCTGAGATGATCACATCATCGGGATGAGGGAGATGATCACATCATCGGGATGAGGGAGATGATCACTTACAGTGTAGATTCTGTAGGCTCCCGTTGATCCTTTTGTTGCTCGTTCAACAGATTGGAAATCTTTTCATACGCGAGCTTTACTGTTGGATACACCTCGGCAGGGCAGCGAAGAATGTCTACATATGGTTGCAGGCAAGAGACTAGGTCTGCATGGAATGATGCTGGGACTTGTGATAGCACTCGCTGATGCAGATAAATTCGCCGAGTGGCCGATAAGATGCAAAATCCCAGCATTGGATCAGTTATCAAGACGCCGGCATCAACTTCCAAAACGCTTGTGATCAAAGACGCCAAGGAAATAGCTTGTTGAAGGCCGCGAACGCTGTAGTAATTCAATTCTGTGACAAGTGACGCTTGCGACCCCGAAACATTGTCTTCGCGCCTGTTTTGGGCGTCAAGAATGTCGTAGAGACGGCCGTTCACGTGGTACCACCAGACATGCAACATAATGAAGGTGGTCCGCGAGGGTGAGGATATCCGACGGCAGATGTTTCGTGCGCTGATTGAATAGCCTTCGGGAAGTGATGAGATGAACTCCGATAGCTCGTGCTCGAACCCACCAGCATTGGCTTGTAAATAGGACTCTTCGCCAGTCGTTGATTCAGCCCTGACTCTTAAGTTAGTTCCAAAGTACATGACACCGTTGGAAAAAGTATTCACTCACTCTTTAATTCGTCGATATATATCAAGAAGCCGTATAATGTAGGTGTATAGGCCCGCGCCTTCCTTATTCAAGGTTCTGATCGGCTGTCGGAGGCTGCCAGTTTCAACAGACGTTTCGTAATTGTAGGATCGCTCGTTGCAAGGCAACTTCAACCACATACTCTCACTGCGGCAACACGAAAGCTCAGTCTTACCATCAAGAGATATCAGGTCCATCATCCAGAGGCCCCACATGATACGTCGTCTCCATTCTTGTATGCAAAAGCCTTTCGATGCCTCTTCGTGGTTCAAGCGCATAGTATACGCTAGTCTCGTAGCAAAAGAGATGACGCCAATCAGCCTGCAAAACCTGCGAGAACTGGCATGATCGAAAGCAATGAGTATCAGTGCAGCAATGTCTGTTCGCAGAGGGCTGCAGTCCTGCTGAAGTATCTGTCTTTCGGCCTCTTCGATCCACCAGTGGCCATCTGAAGGCGTATGCGAGTTTTGTTGGACAATAAATCGTGATGCGACACCGCATATGGCTTTTAAGAGCTTAGGATTATGTCTACCATCAAGCCACGTCTGAAGAAGAGAAGGTTGATGTATGAAACTTAAACCAGGTATGGGGTGTATATACTCGAAAAACACGTCGAGGTGCTGCTTGATGATGGCATGATGAAGTCCAGATTTGCTGGTCACCTGTCAGTTTGAAATGTGATCACAGCGCAAGATAGGCTTTCGTTGCTTCTGTCGAGTTCACTGACCTCATGATCGTGGTCAGCGACGGCGTCGTGCTGCCCGGGGGTGTCAAAGCTTCGGATGATGGGGGTGTCTCGGCGGTGATACTGGTTGCCTCATTGGGCACATGATTGCCAGCACGAGATGTCTCGCTGTCAGTTGCTGTAGAAGCTTCTCTCTGCTCTGGTGAGACAGCGGGTATGGAGCTAGGTATCATGATCGAAGCATCGCGTGGTGGAGTGATCACAGTTGGCTCGCGGGATCCAGTACCTGCAGGTGTCTGGCGCGCGCGTCGACTAGGGCTAGGCACGCAATCGATCCCAAAGTTATGACATCTTTCACAAGGAGGTCGAGTCCCTTGACAGCGAACCTTTTTCTGGCGGCAGGGAAGGCAAGCTCTCGGAGCTCGTCGTCGAAGGACCGCATCGGGGGTATGCGACTGGTCGGAAGACCTTTGCGCCAGATGTTCAAAAGCCGTCGGCTCAGTAAAGGAACATTTGAAATTCAAGCGGCTGCAATTTTGACATCCGCCAAGAGTTCCATCGCATCGAACCTGCGGCCACGAGGCAAGGTTGCATTAGCTTAATTTGGCTTCAGTTTGCGGTTATCCTACTCTCTGCGGGGTCAGGAAGCCTGTCCTACCTTGCGACTCCGACATTGGAAGCAGATTTGCAAACGCTGGTGCGTCCCGGGAATCTGGTTGACCATGGCGGGCAGGTGAGCGGTTGCCGGAAACCGCAGATTGTATTGAGTGAGTCTGGGGAAGTGGGGGAAGAGAGATCAATAGGGATTCCTCCACATATAGGACCTGGCCCCCGACTGCCCCGACTATCCAGCTAGCTTCGCTTACAATATTGTCACACAGCTTGGTCTATTACTGAGACGAAGAGGCGAGTATCAGCGATGCCTAGTCATTCTACAAGCTCCCCGTTTTTTGTTTTGCTGAGAATAATTGGCGTTGCAGGTAGGTCCGAAAGCTAATCCCAAACCGGTATCATTATTCGTTGAGGCTCGGGATTTTGAGACGGGTGGCGTGGGTCTCGCGACGCCATTTACCCCCAAGACGTCATGTCCATGGGAATCAAACTGCACCTCGTCTAAGGTACGTTAGTAATCATATCACACGACAGCAATGAACTTGACTATCTAGTGCGCACTTCGACGATGGATCGGATGGCATCAGGTCGTCGGCTGGATCATGAAAATGGTCTTATAACAAGGAGTGGAGATTAGTCAAGGCGTTAGCAGCGGCACGGGGAGGATTCAGCTGTCACTACTTGAATCTCAGCATCAAAGTCACTGCTGGACATAGCGATATCGGAGCAGCCAGACTGAGCTGTACGCAGTTCTTACGGGTTAGACCCGGTGAAGTTATATAGCCCCTTGGGCTATACCTCCACGAATGCAGCCCAGTTGAATCAACGACGTTGATTCCACACGTATCCTTTTAGCTCAATTGGATAGTTGCCAGCAAGGCACTCACGACTGTGTGAGGGCTGCAACTGAGCTCCTTTGGGGGCCGACTGTAACAGCAGCAAGTGCCATGTCCCAAGAGGCTGCCATATCGCTCAGGAGCATCTGCTACTTCGCCAGTCTTCGTGGCATGTTTAGCATCTGCCCGCACATCATTTTCATGAGACCATGCAGTAATATTACCGGTAGATTATCCACCATAAAAGTGTTAAGATGTACATTCCATACTTCCGTCATTGTGACCAATAACGTCGATGATGCTTACTGTACGTCATGCCGTACGGCACTTTGAAGATGCATTTCTATCTTGCGGTAATCTTGACATGATGAAGTGTATTTCAAACTGATGGGAGCCATAGTCAAATGACTCGAAAAGCAAGCTTTCGTACTCAACTAATTAATGCTGCTGGTGCCTGCATTCTCGCAGACAAACAGCTGTTAACTGTATCTTGATGTTGTCTGCAGAGCCCATGGACTATGGTGGAGAGTCGCTGGATTTGAGTTTTCACGCCTTTTTCTCCGCCTCAGATGTGATTTTGGACAGCTTCTCGTTGTCAAGGTCGTTCTTGGCCACGGTTTCAACATCAAGGGTCCTGTCGCGAGGGCGGCCCTTCCTGTCAAAATCAAAGACTCTTGAAGCTTCCTCGGCAGAAAGACGCTTGGTCTCCGGAAACATCAAGTAGATAAAAGCAAAGTAGAAGATAAGAATGGCAATATACACACCATAGCTAGTCCGAGATGATCAGTGTCTGGGCCGA